TTTCTGACCTGTAACATTAAGAAATTATAATACTTCTTCTTGACAATTTATCGTAGTTTATGAGTATCGAGTTGGAAAAATTGCTACTGTGAGCTTTCTAAAACTATTTGGACAGAAGAATAAGCTTGCAAAAATCCCTAGCAAGACAAAATCTATTTTTAATGAATTGTTATGACAAATATTGTTTTTTGCGAAGAAAAGCCTTTTTCTCCTCTTTTAAGGTGCTTATCGGCTGCATTTGTGGCAGACTTTCAGGTATGTTCGTTTTTCAAGAGGGGCACTGCATGGAACGCTTACTGGGCAGAAATTAAATAACTTCGTTATTGCAGTATTTCCTCTAGAAATTAACACCGGGAAGTACCAATTACTTGTTTTCAGTATTTGTTACTTGTAAAAAAAGTTATCACTTGGACATCAGAAAATTATATTTTTAATAAAAATGGCCAACAACTCAGTGTAGAAGGGTCTAACGTAGCAGAGACCGAAGGGGAACTACTTGGTGATCTAGCTTGTTGTTGTCTGTCAATAACATCAGAGCTCTACGCCAAGAAACTGGTAGTCCAAACTGTTGTGTCCGTTGCGACACACGTTGAGTTCGATTTTTATTAGTCCAACAGAAAATATCAACATTGGTAGTTACGGAGCTCCGAGTCTGTGATTCTTCGGTTGGTGCTGACCGGGGTACCACGGTCAGTAAGGCCTTCACACTCCACGTTCCTCGAGCCGCTGTCGGAGCTGCTGTTGGGGGAGATGTCGATCCTTCTTGTATCGGCCGCGCAGTCCTGTCGATCGCCAACACACTGCTCTAACCTTTCCAGTGAATCTACGCTCCAGGTCCGGGCTGTGCGCTGGAACGTTCTCGAAAGGGGAGAGCAAGATCACTTGCTCCCAGAATACGGATTTTTTTTTATTGTTCTTTCCAGAACTGATTGTAAAATCATTACAATGTAACTCTTACAGGCTGTAGCGTTCGTGACCGGTCGTTCCAGTTTAAAAGAGATGACACCATTTGAAAATGCAATATCTGGTTCGTTAGCATCCGTTTTTGCTGCATCTGTCCTCTGCCCAACGGAACTTGTTAAATGTAAATTACAAGCACAACGAGAAATGTTTCCTGGAGTGAAAAGGTTGCTGGAAATTTTTTTGTCTTCAAGTTTTTTATATTTATTTTGCTAATTATTGTGTAATTTTTGCATGAATTTGCTTATAGGTCTAGTTTTTTATGCGTTTTTGCATAATGTGCAGAAACACATATTGTGACTTCCCCGGTGTGTGTGTGTGTGTGTGTGTGTGTGTGTGTGCGTGTGTGTGTGCGTGTGTGTGTGTGCGTCTGTCCGGGTATTTCAACTTGGCATCTAAGCAAGATCTGGCGCCAACATTTTGTGAGTTGGTTCCGCAGCCAAGTGCCACCCTAGGACCGCGGTACCATCCCTCAATCACGTCTAGGCCCCGCGTATGAGCGCCTCAAAGTTTTGGCGGGAAAATTGCTAACTCGGGAACCAGAAAAGCCAGATAGCTGAAATTTTGGGATTATGTTCCCCGTCCATACAGAACTCAAAGATTTCAAATTTAGTCCCCGGGGGTGCGTGGTTCCCGCGTACAGCCCCGTGAAGGTTCCTGGCGCGAAAATTGTTAGCTCGGGAACTAAGAAAGCTGGGGGGCTGAAACTTTCAGGAAATGTTCCCAACTCATCTACAACTTAAATTTATCAAATTCAGCCCCTCATTATACGTGGTTGACACGTACAGCCCCGTGAAAATTTTTGGCGGGAAAATGGCTAACTCTGGAACCAGGAAAGCTGGGAGGCTGAAACTTTCAGGAAATGTTCCCAGCTCATCTGCAACTTAAATTTATCACATTCAGTCCCCCGCTTTGAGTGGTTGCCACGTATGGCACTGTGAAATTTTCTGGCTGGAATTTGGGTAACTCGGAAACTGAGATAGCTGGGGACCTGGGATTTCGAGGGAATGTTCCCTGTCCAAGTATAGCGTGGATAATTAATTTCCCGAAATTCGAGGACCAGTATGTACAAGAGGTTTCTAGTTAGCGGGATTTCGAGTGATCTTATTGCAGCACGAAACACTGCAAAAACGCATGATCGCACTGGGCCCCCCAGTGCGCGTCGCCAATGATTTAGCATTTGGGAATGCTGTGAGCAGGTTGTGGTAATAGGAGTTGTTAGAGTTGAGTTCGAAATTTGAGAAGTTTTAAAAATTATGCCGTGATGTTTGTGATGAACTGAATCTCAGAGCGAATTCCACTTCTTTTGTCTTTGTGAGAGATGGAGGTATTGGGAGATCTTCTTGAATCCCTGTCATGCATCAACATCAGTTTATCGTCGAAAGAATCAACGAATCGCAAAAAGACTTTTTTTCCACTGCTGGAGTCAAATCCTTTACCTTTTCCATTTTAGAAGCGTCACTTGCTATTTTGCTTTGCTTCCATTTACCAGAATACTGCGAATAAAAGAAAATAAGCAGGAACAAAACGAGGGCGTGTGCTTTTCGGGAAAGTATAGAAATATGAATACTGGGACGAAAGCTTTGCTAGTACTAACAAACTTGTTCATGTACGATGTCAATTTGTATCAAAATTTCATCATTTTCTTTACCTCTTCACGGTGTTGCAGTACGCTATTTTCAACGTGTCGAGATGTCTATAAAATGCATGGTTTACGGGCATTTTACACGGGCATGGTTGCTACGTTATGTAGGGAGGTGCCTGGGTATTTCTTCTTTTTTGGTGCCTATGAACTATCACGATTTTATTTTACGCCACCTGGAAGAACCAAGGATGAAATTGGTATGTTGGCTCTTACATAAAATATCGCTTATGTGTTTTCAACTTTAATAGGAAAATAGCTGGCATCACTGCATGTGACATGTGATATTTCCAAAATATTGAATGCTTCGCAACAGTTCGATCGATCTCACTGGCAGCTGCTTGCAGATTCTGTTGTGCCTTTCAGGATGCAACTCGTGAAAAAGGCTTTAATTACATTAATAATAATAAAATAGAACAATCAACAAAAAATAAATAAATAGCGACGCGCACCAGGGCAGCCGGTGCGATCATGCGTTTGTGCAGTTCCGTTCACCGAAAGATTGTCTGCAAATGATTTTCACTGTCCCGCCGAAACTTTCACGAAGCCGTAAGTTACACTTGGACGCGCAGAAAGCTGAATTTAAAATTGCAA